CCCAATAGCCACAAATAATAGAAAACATCTAGGGGTAACTCTACCCAAGCATGTGAAAGATCAGTATGATAAAAACTTTAAGTTTTTGAAAACAGACACTGAAGAAGGTAACAAAAGATGAAAATATCTCCCAGGCTCATGGATTGGTAGGACTAGCATAGTAAAAATGGCCACTTTACCAATGGCAATTTACAGATTCAGGGCAATCCCCATTAAAATCCCAACACAATTTTTTTACAACACTTGAAATAACAATACTCAGATTCATTTGGAAATGAAAAAAAACAGGATAGTTTAAAGGATCCTAAACAATGAGGGAACTTTTGGAGGTATCACCACTCCAGATTTCTGCTGCAGAGCTGTGTAATAATAGAAGTCATCTGATATTGTCAGAAAAAACAGAAAGGGGCTGAAGGAGGGAAGAGGGACTGTAGGAGACAGAGGCGTCAAAGACATCACTAGAAAACCCCCAGGATCAACTAGCCTGGGCTCATATAAGCTCACAGAGACTGAACTGAACGAGGGAACCTGCATGTGACTGACCTAGACCCTCTGCATATATGTGACAGTTGTGTAGTGTACTGTTCTTGTGGTAATCATACCAATGTGAGTAGGGACTGTCTCTGAGCATTGTGCTGGATTTGGGGACCCCATTCTTCAAGCTGGCTTGGTTTGCCCAGCCTAACTACAAGGAAGATGCTTAGACTGACTACAGCTTCATATATCATGTTTTGTTGATATCCATGGGAGGCTGTCCTTTATTAAATAGACACAAGAGAAGTGGATGGGAGAGGACAAAGGAGAGGAGGGGAGAGATTGGGAGGAGTGGAGGAAGGTGAATCTCTGGTTGGGATGTAAAATAAACATTTTTTAAAATTAAGAAAATAAATAAAATAAAAGAAGAAGGAATGAGGACACATGGGAAATCCCAGGGCCGTAAAAACATTTATGCAAAACTGGAGGGTGCAAATTAACAGAGACAGGTCACCTGAAGAAACATATTTTTCCCTTAGAGATGAATACAGCCTGTGTTTGGGTTGAGCTCTGTAGCATAGGAGTTACTGGATTCTCAACATCTACAGCTGGTTCCTAGAAAGAAACATGGAAGGACCTCTTCTGCTTATCTGCATTCTCCACAGGACTAGGGGGAAATAGACACCCGAATCTACCAGATTTGGGCACTAGGTATGAGTCTTCTGCATTTGTCACGTAGATTATTAGTGGTGGCATGGGACACAGAGCAGCAGCAGTATGTTTATGTTGCCTGTGCATGCAGGTTCAGGAAGAAATAGGTGTGGGACCCGCACGTTGTGAGTGCCAAGATGCAAAGTCTAGTGATTCCTCCCAGTCCATGCCACGTGGACAACTACTGAATTCATTGCTCGACGGGTGTTTGCTCGACGGGTGTGAATACCTCATTCAGAAAATGCAAGGTGGCCTTATGCTCCAAATAAAAATCTGGTTCTGTATCTATTTGATTCTATTAAAGAGAGCGGCTGATTGGATACCCAGCAGTGACAGAAACCCAGGGATTCGTGGCCAGAGAATTGGTCCTGGGTGTAATTTCAGATTTCACCTATCTGAATCAGCACTGCCAGGGTGAGAGACATGCCAGGCAGCAGTGGCAATCAGAGTTTAAAGAATAAGCTCCTTTCTAGGGTACAGTCTGAGACTAAGTTCCTGGCATCTAAAGAATACAGAGCACCAATAATTAGAGGAGAGAAGTGGCAGAGGGATGGTATCAGGCTCTTCATTTCCTCAGCCTGTCTCTGTCATTGCAACTTGAAAGCCAAAACAAAATCAAGCACATCTAGGGATTGGTAGGCCAGAAAAACACAAGAGAGAGAGAGAGAGAGAGAGAGAGAGAGAGAGAGAGAGAGAGAGAGAGAGAGAGAGAGAGAGAGAGAGAGAGAGAGAGAGAGAGAGAAGCAAAAACTTGCAACAGGAACAAAAGTATCCCAAGAAGGTAAAGAATTCTTCTCCTTACAGAAACCCAGGCTTGGAGCCATTGTCGAGAAAGAGCAGGCTTTTCCACCCAGCATAGCCTGCATCCAGCCTCCTCCCCAAGCAGGATGAAGTCTCCTGGCCTCCAGCTGGTGTAGCTGCTCTCTGCAGCAGATTGTCTAGCAGCTGGCAATCGATCGTTTGGGTCCTGTTTGGGATATGCCTTCCTGCATTTTCCATGAGTTACTATGAGTTCACATGAGCTGTCTGAGTCTAGGTGTCACAAAGTGCCAGCTGCATTTGATGCCTGGCTAGTGTTGGAGGCAAGTGTCTGGGAAAACTCTCTGTAAACCTGTCACTCTAGCATGGGACAATGTATCACAATTAAAACAAAACAAAGCTAAAGGCAAACATCAAGGCAAGAAGTCACCAAGGAGATCTGGTGTTATACCCATAGCATGACAAGAAAGGGGTGGGACGATCTCCCGAGGGATCCATGGCCTTGGGTAGTTTGATAGGTGCCTCCATTTTGGTTCATGCCATGTGACTGCGTTAATGTAGATGGGGTGGAGTCACACACCCTTTGCTATCTACATGATGCGACTAACCAGTAAGATGTCATTGCATGTGGCTGTCTCCATCATGATGTCATGACCAACCAAGATCCAGCCTAGTCACACCTTTGCCTTGATGAGCTCTCCAACCGTGATGGTGAGACTTGATTATTATTTTTGAACTGGTGAGCTCAGCTCAACTATGAAATAAGCCATTTCCCCATGAGGACACTTGTCCTAGTCGGATTCACCTCTCTGACAGAATAAATGTGGACACTCATTCCCTTTCCATAGCATGGATACAGGAGGAGAAGGGTCTAGGTACTGAGTAGCCTAGTCAGTTGGACCAAAATAAGGAAGCCAAGAAGAAGAAAGTAACTTCATGGTCTCAATCCCAGAAAGGTGATTTGATATGTCTCACCACACAAATGTGGACTGTGTGTGCCACAGAATGTCGTCTGGTTCTTCTTTTGACATCGTTTCATTACCTAGGCACAACCTGTTACTTGGAAAGAACATGAGGGAACAGCCAGGATGGGGAGGTGTGCTCATGGCCCACACCTGGGGCTGCTGATCTAGGACCACAGGGAGAAACTAACAACCAGTGAATGTCCTGGCACCATGTTGTTCTACTCAAGCATGTTATACACCGTGACCAGACCCACCTGTGCCCCCCATGTTTACTATGCTCCAAGTCCCTTAGAAGCAATCTGGTTCCAGGAGTTAAGCCCGTGTAGAGCCTCAAAAGCTCCCTGAGGCCCTTGACCCATTTAGAAAATCAGTTGCCTGGGACCATATGGCGGTCCCCTCCTGTGTCACTTTGGGTTATTATTGCTGTGAATAGACACCATGATCACGGAAAAAGGAAAAAATTTCCATATATTTTATTTAACTTTTTATGCATGTCACACTCAGTTCTCTCTCCCATCCCTCCTCCCCCACCCCCAATCGTCCCATCCCATGACCCCCACCCCACCCCCCTCTGCTCCCCAGGGAGGGCAAGGGCCTCCATGAGGGATTTTCAGGGTCTGTTATATCATCCCGGGAAGGGCCCAGGTTGAGAGAGCATCCCTCCATGTGGCATGGGTTCCCAGAGTCCTTCTGTATGCCAGGAATAAATACTGCTCCACTCTCCCAGATACCACAGATTGCTACGGCCGCCTCTCTGTCACCCAGGATCGGTGGCAGGGTGTCTGGATCAGTCCCATGCTGGCCCCTCAGTCATCAGTCTGGGGTCCATGTGTTCCCCCTTGATTAGGTCAGCGGCCACTGTGGGTTTGCCAGCCCAATCTTGATTCCTTTGGTCATCACTCTACTTTGCAACTGGATTCCAGAAGTTCAATTCGGTTCACAGCTGTGGGTGTCTGCCTCTGCCTCCATCAGCCACTGGCTGAGAGTTCTAGGATGGCATATAAGGCAGTCATCATTCTCATTACCGTGGGAGGGCATTTAAGGTAGCCTTAATGCCAGTTGGTGTCATTCTTGTAGATCTGTGAAGATCTCACTAGTGCCAGAACTCTCCTCCAACTTATACTGGCTCCTTCTTTTCTGGTATCTCCCATCCTTTTCTCCTCTATTCTTACCCTGGCTCAACCTTCCTGCTCTCCCATGTCCTCCTCTCCCCTACTCTTCTCTCTCTCTCTTTCTCATCTCCTTCTTCCCTCCCCTTCTCCCCCACAATCCAATTAGGAGATCACATCCCCTAACCCTTCTCTGGGTTACCATGCATAACTCTCTTAGGGTTCTCCCTGGAAAACTTTTAATTGGGGTGGCCCGCTTACACCTTCAGAGGATGAGTTTATTGTCTTCACGGCAGCGAGCCTGGCAATGTGCTGGCAGATGTGGCTCTGAGGTAGTAGCTGACAGTCCTATATCTTGAAGTCAGCTGAAACACTGGGAGGTACCCTCAGCATAGGAAATCACAACGCCTGTACCCACAGTGAGGCACTTCCTCCAAAAGGCCATACCCACTCCAACAAAACCACACCTCCTCATAGTACCTCTCCCTGTGAGATGATGTGGACCAATTACATTCATATTATCACACCTCCCTTCCCCCAAATCGGAACCAAGGTCGCCCAGGTTCTCTGAGGGGAATGGGTAAAGAGGAAAAGAAGAGGGAATCCCTTGAGAAAAGAAGCACGGAGGGGTAGGGAGCTAAAGCTAGGCATCGGGTCTTTTGCATCATTCAGTCTCATTTTAGTTGGGTCAGGGAAGGGTGTATGGAACTGGTTGGTAGTTGAGCCTGTGCCAGCCAGTGGAACTGTTTTCTCCCCTGGCTTTGGGCATCTCCTTCTGTCTTCGTTTTTTTCCTGGACCTCAAGTTGGCCTGAATGCTTCCCTGTTTCTGCCCTTAAACCATAGAAGTTCAGTCATCGTCTCCCCCAACCCCCCCCAGACCTGGTCCTACACCATCCCTAAGAAGGCCATTTCCTGCATCTAAATTGAGAGTCCCTTTTAGTCTCATAGAGGAACGGAATAGTGACCTTGTTATGGCTGTGATTAGACTAGAGAAAAGATAGTTTATTTTGCTTATGGTTCCAGAGTGTCAGATTCCCTGATGCTGGAGCAAAGGCATGGCAGCAGGAACAGCTGAGAACACATCTCAAAGGAGAAGCAGGAAGCAGTGTGCACGCTGAGAAAGGCAGGAGTCTTTGGAAGCCCCAAGCCTTGCCTGCAGGGACACATCCATCCAAGAAGGGAGGACCTCGGTGCTGGCTAATTCTGTGTGTGCTGGACACAAGCTTGAGTCATCTCAGTGGAGGAAATGCCTTCACAAGATCGGAAGCAAGCCTGAAGAGCATTTTCTTCGTGATTAACGTGGGAGAGCCCAGTGCATTGTGGTTGGTACCAACCCTGTTCAGGTGATCCTGAGTTCTGAAAGACAGAACAGAGCACATGGAATAAGCCAGTTAGCAGCACACCTTCATGGCGTGAAACCTGCCTCAAGGTCCCTAGACTGTTCTGCTTCTGAGCTGAGTAACTTTGATGATCCAGTGTGATAAAGAAGTCAACAGACAAATACATTTTTTTCCTGCATGAGGTGCTTTTAGTCATGGTGCTTTATCACAGCAATACGAACTCCAGCTAAGGGAGAGATTAGTCCCAGGTTCACAGAGTCAGTGTTGTTGTGACAGACATGACCGTGCTTGTTCTTCTGAAGATTGTGGAAGGACTTTAGAATTTGGGCCTGGAGAAGCCATTGAGTGTTGTGTGTCTAGGGACTGTGGTTTACAATCTAGGTAGAGAGGAACATTTAGTTTCAATGCAGACAATAGTGCCCTGACTGTGATATTTCTGAGGGAAGTATTAGGATCCCTTACAGACTCTCTCTGGGCCCTCGTGTTATTTTCCATTATGCATCAGAGGTTAAGGTCACCTGAGATGGAGGAATCTGCTGTGGTCACCGATAGAGAAGCATCACAGAGGTACTTCTTCTGGTGAGGTGTTTGTTGGGTCAATCCACAGAGAAGCTGTTTTCCAGAGTGAGCCAATGTTGTACCTCATGCTGGCAGACAACCTAGGTCATGGGTAATATTCTCCTAGATGGTGCCGGTTTAGAAGCCATGAAGGGATCTCAAAGAGCACCTGAGAGTGGACACTGTGAGCGGCCAGAAGAGGCCATTGGAAGGCACAGCCTCAGCAGCTGTTGAAGACCAAGGATTGAATGGAGTCGTGCAGAGAAGTTGCGGTGTGTCACCATGAAGAGAGGGCATGAGATATCCTTGGTGAAGGTGCTGTCCATTTGCGGAGGGAGATTGTAGCACTCTGGAGATGCCCGTGCTTTGTGATGGCTGCCGAGGACAGCAACGGGCACGGAGGTGGCGTGGCCCTCTGAGACATGCTGGTTGTGATGGAGATCTGACCGCCCCAAGTGAAGCCAGGAGACTGACTCTGTGTAAGAAGCCAGGAGACTGACTCTGTGCTTTACACAGTAGGGAGTTTGCTTTCACTTTGTGCAGGTTGAGACCATGCCCCGGATCCCCACTCTTGCATCAAAAAACTCTTTAACGTATTGTGATCTTACAGGAGACCCACAGACTGAACATGTACAGGAACAGGGTTATTAGAGACATCTTAATATTGTAGAGTTTGCAATTTAAGTGCTTGAGTATATAAAGGCAGTGGGAAATTTAAACTTGGAATTTTATATTATGATAGTTGTAGGCAGAGACTTCATGTCCAATGATGTTTTCAAATAGCCACTCAGAGGCTTAATATTAATTACAAATGCTCGGCCAATAGCACAGGCTTGTTTCTATCAACTCTTAAATTTAAATTAACCCATATTTCTTAACTAAGCTTTGCCTGTTTCCCATGGCTTGTTAGGTTATTTTCTTTTTTTTTCTCTTCCTTTTTTTAAAATTTAAGTTAGAAACAAGCTTGTTTCACATGTCAATCCCAGATCCCTCCCTGTCCCTTCCTCCCCCACATGCCTCATTAGGCCCCCAGTCTCCCCCCCAATCTCCACTCCGATTCCCAGGGAGGGTGAGGCTCACCATGATGGATCTCCAGAGTCTGTCATTTCATCCAGGGCAGGGCCTCTGCCTTCCAGGCTTAGAGAGCATCCCTCATTGTGGGATGGGCACTCAAAGTCTATTGGTACGCCACGCCAGGGATAAATATTACCCAAGGCGCCACAGATTAACTAGGCCTCCTCACTGATACCCACATCCGGGGAGTCTGGGTCAGTCCCATGCTTTCCACATAACCATCAATCTAAGGTCCAAGAGCTCCCTCTTGCTCAGGTCAACTGTTTCTGTGGGCCTTTGATCATCAGTTCTCCCTTTCTGTGACTGGATTCCAGGAGTTCAGCTCAGTGTTTAGCTGTGGGTGTCTGCCTCTGCTTCCACCAATCATTGGATGAAGGTTCTGTTCCCCGGACTCTCTGGCAGTGGGATTTTATGCTGGCACTCCCCTGATTCATGTCTAAAATCCATATATGAGTGAGTACATACCATGATTCTCTTTTTGAGACTGGTTCACGTCACTCAGGATGGTTTCTTTTTATTAAAAAGAAAAAGAAAAAATAGAAAAAATTTTATTTCATTTTACATTCCAACCACAGTTCTCCCTCCCACACCTCCTCCTACCCCTTGCCTCCTCACACCCCCTCAAACCCTCACACCCTCCATCACTTCCCCCCCCCTAATCCAACCCCAGTCCACTCCTCCTCAAGGGTCTGGCTCCCATGAGGACTCAGCATAGTCTGGCACAATAGGCCGGGGCAGGACCGGGCTCCTCTTCCATACATGAAGCCTGGGCTTGGCATCCCACCACAGGGAATGGGCTCCAACAAGCTAGCTCATGGGCCAGGTTTGTATCGTGGTCCTACTGCCAGGGGCCCCCTCTGATAGTCCAAGCATCACAACTGTCTCCCACCAATGGAGAGCTTAGTTGGCATTCACCTGACCCACTATGAATGATGAATGGGTTTTATTGGTAGAAGAACTTATATAGAGAACACTGACTGATGATCATGGCGTTCCTGCTCCAAGGATGCAGCCCTGCCACCTCGATGCAATCCAAGTCCTTAGGGGCTCCCCGAGCCCAGATCCTTTCCCTTTAACCTGCCTAGTCTGCCCCTGTAACAATGCGGAAAAGGTGTGGACACTGTTACAGGGGCCCAGGCAAACGTATCACTATACCCTGGAGTCTCCACAATGTAGGTCTAGAGTTTGTGAGTTTCCATGAGGTTGGTTCAGTAGTCTCTGTAGATGTCTCCATCAGGTTCTTGACCTCCCTTGCTCATAGGATCCCTCCTCCCTCTCTTTGCCTGGATTTCTGAAGCTCAGCCTGGTTCTAGGTTATGGGTCTCTGCATCAGGTTCCAACAATTACTGGATGAGGGTTCTATGATGATAGTTGTGGTATGCACCAATCTGATTACAGGGCTAGGCCAGTTCAGGCATCCTGTCTACTATTGCTTAGTTGGGGTCCTCCTTTAGTGCCAGACCCAGGGACACAGCTCCTCCATCGAGGACACACTTCCTAATCCTTTTCACAACGTTCCACCAACTGGGGACCAAGAAACAAACATATGACCCTGGAGTCCATTGTCCCTCAAACCTCCAGAGGGCAAAACTTCTCCCTCATTAACTCTCAAACAAACTCTTGAATATCCTGACCACCGATGAAACACTTCTCTTTTCCAGAGGGCATTTTTTTCTGGTAGGCTGTCCATAGTATTGACTGGTAGCCTCAGTGCTTACTAGGACTCGTTCCCATTGCTCAGGAACTTTCCATCCTGGGGGTCCTTACTGATACAGAAGGGTATAGTTGACCTGAGCCCCTCGGGCCACACAACGTGGTAAGGGACCTGTCTCTCCAGAGAGAGGAGAACTAGACACTCTCCTGGACAGGTTTGAAATACAGGATGTAATCTCCCCCTCCCACCCCAGATTGTTAGGAAAAACCAATAATCTCATTGTTGCCCAAAAGTTCACACAAGCAAAATCTGTTCTCTCAGGTAGGCAGGGCTTTTGGTGAATGGGATGCGTGAGAACCTAATCTGCGCTAGAAACACACTGAGGCCAATATAGCAGTATCCCCAAACATACCCATTATCCCTGATGTACACGGGTAAGGGTACCTCATCCTGCAGGTGGGAACTTGAATTCACAGCCTGCTGTGATGGTTTTCTCGACACAAAGGCATGTGGGAAGACTCAGGAAGTATGAGTGCTCTCTGGGATTTGTTAGCCTTTGTTGTTGCTGTCTGTTTGTTTGAGATAACGCTGCTCGCTCTGAACAGAGTGAGGCAGGGTTTGAAACAAAGAGGATTTAGGAAGAGCTTCTGTATAGCAGCTGGGTGTCTGGTAGTGTGACAGCACTGAGCCTCCTTGCCTTGGAGTTGATTTGGATTAATTGGATGGAGGAGGGCCATGTCAGGGGATGATCTGGTAAGTCCAGGTCTATTGCTGGTGTCCAGGTGCCTCGTAGTTTCAGCCACTGCGGTTTCCTTCAGATGGTACTTCTGGAGGGGAAAGTGAAGAGAAAGAGCCAGAAGCCCTGTTCCACAGTCTCAGGCCATGTCAGAACCACAGCCATTTTTGGTGTGGACACCCCTGGCATTTCTGGTCTTGCGCAAATGTGAGGCCTGCAATGGGCCTAAAACACTTTCAGCATTTACCACGGAAAGACACCGTCCACTCTTCTTGAGGTCATGGTACCCTCAGCTGCCTAGCCCATCTCTCCCTCCTGCTGGCCTCAAGGCCCCCATGTGGTACACATGTTTGGTGTGGCTTTCCCCTATGCCCTGCTTCTGACAAAGCTGGCGTGTAATGCAGGCCCTGTTGTTTTCCTCCCAGATCCTAATAGAATTGTCCTCAAGCTTCCTTCTGAAAACACACTCTCTCTGTCTCTGTCTCTGTCTCTGTCTCTGTCTGTCTCTCTCTCTCTCTCTCTCTCTCTGTATGTTTGTATGTATGTATGTATCTTATGAAGTGGAAGTTGGAAGGCCTTATTTCCCCCAAACAGGAGACAATCTCTGTCAGGAGGCAAGCAGGAGAGCTGAGAATGAGAGCCCTGCTGTGAGAGCTTTCAAATCAGCACCACTTGAACCAGTAAAGCTTCCTGTGTGAGAGCAGGCATAAGTGGGAGGAAAATGCTGCCCCTCGCACACTCTGTAGGACGAGACGCTGTCCTGGTGGGACATAGAGTACCTGGGGAACAACTCCAGAATAGGATTTACAACCCCTGCTTCTCCACATGCCAGAACACGACAGACCATGTGGGGTTCTCATCGGCTGCACGCTGTGGGCTGCAGAGACTGGGGTTCTCATCTGCTGCTCCCTGACACAGCACCCAGCGGTACCTGTTGGAGCCAGCTGAACCTCAGAGCTTCACTTTTCCTGTCAAAGCAGCGGTGCCAGCAAGGCTCTAGACTCCCACGGATTTCTGCTGTTCTCGGGCTTGGCTGAAGAAGCAGCTTTTTGCAGTGGGCAGGGGTGAATGCAGAGACCCCACCCTGTTCAAACCTCTGAGAATCAGTGACCCTGGGGCTGTCATTCCCAAAAGGGATTTGTGTATCCCGCCCTGCCCCACCCCCAAGGCTCAGGCAACATTCCAGAAGAGGAGGCAGAAAGAATGTAACAAGTGTAGGATCTGGAAGAATACTGTGGCATGGTGTCGTCTTCACATGGCATTTGCCCACTGCACTGGAGAACTCACCGTATCTGTGACAAGCCCCACAGGAGATGATGCCGGCCCCTTCCAGCTCGGGTTGGGCGAGAGGCTCAAGAGGCCATTCCCCTTGCAGAAACGCTACATTGTAGTTGAGGGATGTCACGGGGAGGTTCAGTCATTTTCTTCAGGTGTGCCACAAGTGGCAGATTGCACAGGTTCAGGTGGCTGCTTCCATACCCATCTGGGCAATACTAAAGAGACTAGAGTATTACTTTTAAAGGGAAACCAGAAGTCAGGAAGGAGGAAGGGGGTGCACATGCCTGGATGGGGTTGGGGTGAAGAATTCCCAGTGGGGAGTGGCAGGAGGCATGAGGATGGTAACCAGGGTACATTGTATACATGCAGGAAATTATAGGATCCACCTTTAATATTTTGTAGAGGTTTATGCATAAAACATTAAATGTTAAGAATCTTACTGAGAGGAGAGTCAGACATTAAGCACGGGTCTATCATTCACTACTCTAAAGGAGTGTCATCACACAATCCAATCCCAGCGTCGCCAAGGAGCCTTCCTTTGCACCATCCTGCGAGGAGATGGTAGCTTAAACGCATTGAAATGTGCTGCAGTTGGCCAAGACACTTTTGATATACAGATAGTCATGTTTGACACTCTTGGTCTCTAGCGGTGACGACAGCGAGGGCTTCAAAATACATTGGTAGTGCCATACGTACTTCTAATACCTAAATAAAATGCCATGGCACGTGATAGAGGGCACAGAGACCATCGGTCCATGCACACGAAGACACCGGGTATGTGAGGTACCCGGGGTACTACAAGCCGGTTGGAGAAGAACGGACTTGTCAGCGTGTGGCTTCCCGAGAACATTAGCTATGCTATATGAAGAGAATCCTAGTGGATATTCCACACAAACTTCACGTGGATGAAGAAAGCCCTGCCTGTGGGAAGCAAGGGCACATGGATCTTAGAGGGCCTTCCCCCTGCCTGCTCCGATCCCTCTTCCTCACTCCCAGGCTTCGAACCCAGGCTGCTGTGGGTACTCGGCAAGTGGGGCACCCCAGGGCTATTTGCCCCGGCCCCAGACACCGTTGCTCTCCATTCTGGGTTTGTGTTTACCTTGCACATTGGCATGCAAAGCATCAGACTCAGGGTTGGCCCTTCCTCCACAGCTAGCTTTGTAGTTTCTCTGGGCCCCTCTCAGCCTTCATGGGCTTACTGACCCCACCTCCAGCTTTTCCACCCTCTGACCCCAGCAGGCCCTTGCTGCTTTCCTGTCACACGTGTCTATCCTTCACCAGCCCAGCCTGCCTCCAGATGAGCCTCGTCCCTCTGTGGATCCCCCGTTAGTCCACAAAGTATGTTGTAGTGCCGTCATGTCTAAAATGAAACCCCCTAGCCATGAGGCACTTGGTTGTTGTTCACATCTGACTATAACGGCACCCAGCATTTCTCCTGTCCACGCAACACAGCACACAGCAGGTCCAAGCTCAAGGGACAAGGCCCTGAAGAGAACACTGTGCACACACAGGGACTGACATTTAAATTTATAACTAGCCACATCAGTCATCACAAAATGGGACACGGGACCTACACAGCTGAAAGGAGTTCAGTCTGCACAGGGCCTTGCACAGAAGAGACTAGCCACAAGATTCATAAGTGTGAGAGCGTGCGGAAGCTTACCAGTAATCCGAGTGTGACCACCTCCAGATGGAAAAGTTCTTTTGATGTTTGCTGTACCCGGGGCGACGGGATTGCTCCGTGTTGCTGGTGCGACTGAAGATTGCCGAAGAAAACACGATGGGCCAGCCTGAGCTACGGACTGAGATCCCATCTCAGATATCTACACCCCACCAATTACAGTAGCCCAAGTTGTCACTGTTTGGTAAAGCTGGACCTATGCATAAGTCACAGACCAGTCAGGGATCCTATTTTTGGGAGGACAGCTCCAGAGGGGCTTTTCATATGTCTTCCATGAGTCAGGTACCCAAATGCACAGGATAATAGTAAAAAAAAAAAAAAAGAACTAGAAAGGACCCCATTGTTCATTTACTGTAGGATGTCATTACTCATGACCACGCTATAAGCAAAAGCCTGAAGGCTAGCAGTCAGCAATGGTGAGGATTTGTGCTATGAGGCCCTCATAGGCAACGTGGATGGTCTGGACATAACAGACAAAGCAGAAGAAGGGAGGCACGAAAGGAATCACGCTGTATGGTTTCAAGTACACAGCTCCGTCTAAAGTGCATTGTTTAGGGTGTGCAGCCTGAAGCATTCGGCAGGGAGGTCTGAGGAGCTGGCTGGACTTTCAGATGTCATTATCAATTGCCTCAATCGCCAGGTTTCACACCTGTAGGCCAAAGGGTACAGGTCTGTTTTGGCCCCATGTCTTATTTTTGACTCCTGTACCAGGAGGACAAAAGCCTAAGAATGTGAAACAATTTTACCCGGGACTTGACCTGGCTCATGGTAAGCAGTTGTGAGTATTTCAAGGTAGGGATGTGTGTGTGTGTGTGTGTGTGTGTGTTTGTGTTTGTGTGTGTGAAACTCTGTGTGACTCTCTGTGGCCTGTGTTTGTGTGTGTGTGGTGCCTGTGTGTGTGTGTGTGTGAAATTCTGTGTGACTCTCTGTGGCCTGTGTTTGTGTGTGTGTGGTGCCTGTGCGTGCATGCGTGTGTGTGCGTCTGTGTGTGAAACTCTGTGTGACTCTCTGTGGCCTGTGTTTGTGTGTGTGTGGTGCCTGTGCGTGCGTGCGTGTGTGTGTGTCTGTGTGTGAAACTCTGTGTGACTCTCTGTGGCCTGTGTTTGTGTGTGTGTGGTGCCTGTGCGTGCGTGCGTGTGTGTGCGTCTGTGTGTGAAACTCTGTGTGACTCTCTGTGGCCTGTGTTTGTGTGTGTGTGGTGCCTGTGCGTGCGTGCGTGTGTGTGCGTGCGTGTGTGTGTGTGTGTGTGTGTGTGTGTTGTGTGTAGCGGGCATCGCGACCAGAAATGGTAGCTTGGAGGCAGTGTATTCAATGCGGGCCATGTAGAGTTCATCCCGTCAGAAGTTTTCTCTGGCCAGCAGTGCCCAACTTCCAACACACAGAGAGAAAGAAGCGCCAGGGAACATGCTCAGCCCCGGGAGAGGCCTCGATGTGTTTATTTGCTGCACACAGTGAGGCGGGGATGCACGTTGTTTTCATTGGCTAGGTGTCTAGGTGCCTGGGCAGCGTTCTGGACCAGCTGTCATTCTCCCCTCATTTGGGAAGACCTCTATTACTTTGCGGCACCAAGCCTGGAAGTTGTTTCTTGGCGTCAGACTCTGCCTCTGGGCCGCCTGTTCCGTCCCAGAGACACGGTACCAGAATATTTAAATCACTGTGGCGTTAAATACGTTTTAATATCTGATAGGGCCAGTTTCTGCGCATTGCACTTTTTTTTCCTTTCAGGAACGTGTTCGGGCCCGCGGCAGGGGGCGGGGTCGCGCCTCCGCCTCGGCTCTGGTTCCAGCCGAGCCTCACCGGCGCCGAGATGGAAATCCCGAGGCTGCTCCCGGCTCGCGGGACACCACAGGGCGGCGGCGGCGGCGGCGGCGGCTGCTGCCCCGCGGGCGGCGGCGGGGTCCACCGAGCCCCGGACTCTCTGGCTTGTCAGGTCCCCACGCGCCGCCTCCTACTGCTCCGGGGGGCCCAAGATGGCGGGCCGGGGCCGCGGAGCGCAGAGGCCCAGAGGGCCTCACGGGGCCTGGGCCCGAGCCCCAGCACGAACCGGTTGGCGCCGAGGCCAGATCACCCGAGCCGCGGCGGCGGCGGCGGCGGCGGCGGCGGCGGCGGCGGCGGCGGCGGCGGCGGCGGCGACGACTTCTTCCTGTTGCTGCTTGACCCGGTGGGTGGCGATGTAGAAACAGTGGGCGCGGAGCAGGCCCGAGGGCCGGGGTGGAGGGAGGAGGCCGAGGCCGGCCCGGGGCCCGAGCGGCGCGAGAGCGGCGCGAACCCCGCGGGCCGGCCCGAGCCGGGCCCCCGCTGCCTGCCGGCCGCCCCGGCTGCGTCCCCGCTGCCGGCGGCCGGCCCGGGCCCCGCGGCGGCCTTCGCGGGCACCATCACCATCCACAACCAGGACTTGCTGCTGCGCTTCGAGAACGGCGTCCTCACCCTGACCACGCCCCCGCTGCCCGCCTGGGAGCCGCCGGGGGTCGCGCCTTTCCCGCAGCCGCAGCCGCAGCCGGGGGCCCTGAGCGGCCCGCAGGCCGGGTTTCCGCCCGCCGCCGCGGCGCAGCTGGGCGACTGCCCCGAGCTGCCCCCGGACCTCCTGCTGGCGGAGCCGGCGGAACCCGCGCCCGCGCCGGCGCCTCCGGAGGAGGAGGCCGAGGCCCCGGCCGCCGCCCAGAGCCCCCGCGGCGGGCCTCTGGTCCCGGGCCCGGGCGTGGTGCTGTACCTGTGCCCGGAGGCGCAGTGCGGGCAGACCTTCGCCAAGAAGCACCAGCTGAAGGTGCACCTGCTGACACACAGCAGCAGCCAGGGCCAGCGGCCCTTCAAGTGCCCCCTGAGCGGCTGCGGCTGGACCTTCACCACGTCCTACAAGCTCAAGAGGCACCTGCAGTCGCACGACAAGCTGCGGCCATTTGGCTGCCCGGTGGAGGGCTGTGGCAAGAGCTTCACCACCGTGTACAACCTCAAGGCGCACATGAAGGGGCACGAGCAGGAGAACTCCTTCAAGTGCGAGGTGTGTGAGGAGAGCTTCCCCACGCAGGCCAAGCTCAGCACCCACCAGCGCAGCCACTTCGAGCCCGAGAGGCCTTACCAGTGCGCGTTCTCTGGCTGCAAGAAGACGTTCATTACTGTGAGTGCCCTGTTTTCTCATAACCGCGCCCATTTCAGGGAACAGGAACTCTTTGCCTGCTCTTTCCCGGGCTGCAGCAAGCAGTACGACAAGGCTTGCAGGCTCAAGATCCACCTGCGGAGCCACACGGGAGAGAGACCCTTCCTCTGTGACTTCGATGGCTGTGGCTGGAACTTCACCAGCATGTCCAAACTCCTACGACACAAGAGGAAGCACGACGACGACCGCAGGTTCACCTGTCCCGTAGAGGGCTGCGGGAAGTCCTTTACCAGGGCCGAGCACCTGAAAGGCCACAGCATAACCCACCTGGGCACGAAGCCTTTCGTGTGCCCCGTGGAAGGCTGCTGTGCCAGGTTCTCCGCCCGGAGCAGTCTCTACATCCACTCCAAGAAGCACTTGCAGGACGTGGGCACCTGGAAAAACCGTTGCCCTGTCTCCACCTGTAACAAACTCTTCACATCCAAGCACAGCATGAAGACCCACATGGCCAAAAGGCACAACCTCAGCCAGGACCTCTTGGCCCAGCTGGAAGCTGCGAACTCCCTTACACCCAGCAGTGAGCTCACCAGCCAGGGCCAGAACGACCTCAGTGGTGCAGAGCTAGTGTCCCTGTTCTCCGATGTCCCTGGCCACAGTTCTGCTGCGGTGCTGGACACGGCCTTGGTCAATTCTGGGATCTTGACGATTGACGTGGCCTCTGTGAACTCGACTCTCGCAGGCAGTCTCCCTGCTGACAGCAGTAACCATTCCTTAGGGCCGGCGGTGGAACCCCGGGCCCTCAGGGCCCCCAGTGACCTTCCCCAGAGTCTGGACACCTCACTCTTCTTCGGAACCTCGGTGGCTGGCTATCAGCAGAGCCCCTTGGACATGGACGACGCCTCCGGTGGGAACGTGGGCCTCTTTGGCTCCTTGGCTCCGAAAAACGCCAGCCTGGAACCCCAGGCTTTGACACCCAGCAATAAGTTAACTGTGGACACCGAAGCTCTGACTCCCTCCAGCACCCTTTGTGAAAACAGTGTCTCGGAACTACTGACCCCTGCCAAAGCCGATTGGAACGTGCATCCCGAGTCGGACTTCTTTGGGCACGAGGAAGAAACCCAGTTTGGATTCTCCAACCCAACAGGAAGCCAGGGTTCTCAGAAAGAAACAGATCTTATCACGGTGGCTGGCACCCCGTTTTTGGTATGAGCCGACTCTGCCCGGGCCCTGACGTGTGGCTCGCTTTGATTACACTCAAATCTGAGGATGTTCTGGACAGAGTGCTCACTTACTTACCTGGGGTCCTTTCTTGCTGCTTTGCAAAGGAGCACATCTGTGGACTACAGATTGAGAGATTGAAATTCTCATCCCGAGTCTGGAACTGATGAGTTCTGTCCCTTAACCTAGCTGAGCCTTAATTTTTTTCTTTTTACATATAAAGGAAGTTGTTTGGTTAAATAGCTTCTATTCTATTTTAAGCTCCTTAGGTTCTTGATAATAAGTGATTTCTTCCTTGAAATTAATTGTGATACTCCAACAATGATATGCTCCTATTTTGAATATAATGTAAATTAAGTTATGTAATAGTGAATATATACTTTGCACTTCATGAATTGTTAAACCCATGCATCATCTTGTTTGTCTTTTTCCCTTCTCTTTTTTAGTATTATTTTTGAAGGACTACCAGATATTAGTTTATTCATAAATATTCAATACAGAGCTTCAGAATACATTGGGTCTAGAGGAAAGTCTATTATAATAATTTTTGTATCGATGAAAACCAATGTTTTTAACTTCATATTGTTCTATAAATGCTGCCTGGTTTAATATTCCTTAATGTTCTGCAGTATATTTTAATCTGTATGTTTCATTTCCCCCTTTTCTTAAGAATTTATTCATTGAAAATAATTATTTTTTGAGGATATTTTGCTATATCCTGTGTAACATTTGCTGATTGTGTCCTGAGTTCACCCAGTTTTCTCAATTTAGTAGTTAATAACTTTATCATATTTAAATATTATTTTTGCATGGATGTTTTATAGATTACCCTGAATTCTTTTATCAGTTTGCTTATAATGTCTCCTTTCTCTTTTTGTGATACTGACTGAGAGCCTTTCCTGGTCAGGACATTTGGTTGTGATTACTCTGGCTTCTGATGTGTTCAAATGTTCTTGTACAATTGCTAACACTTAGGGGAGGAGGAATTGTTGTTTAGAACACTTAGAAAAGTTTAACTGAAATACTATTCAGTGCCAGAGTATTTTCTTAAATGATGTTAAGACTAACAAGACAAAATAGCAAAGAAAATTGTGTTTGCTCTTGTCATTGTTGACATTTCTGACATCTTTTGGTGGTAGTAGGGAGGCTGTGTTGTCAAATTGCCATCCAGGACTTTGACATGAAAGACTCTGAGTCCAGTTTGTGCTCTGTGGTATTGGAGAGGTTGTCTTGAAGATAATAGTCTTACTAAACCTCAGTTTCCTGTTTACTGATTAATGTGTATGCACATGACTAACATTTCTTAGACTTTTCTTCTCATACAGTTTCAACACATAAGATAAAGTATGTATTTCAGTACATTTTAAAGACTTTATATGCTCTTTTTACAGTTTTAGTTTTTTGTGTTGTTAGGGAAAAAGGCGTAATTTAACCCTAGTGGTATTCAAGTTAATAAAGCATTGTGAGGTTTAGAATGAAAAGGAAAGGGTCTCTTTATTCCTTACCCTGAATAATTTTCTTTCCCAATTTGTTATGGAAAAACCACGAGTGAAAACACTGCTCACATGGTTATCTCCATACCTCTCCATTTGTTCAGTCTGTCAACATCCTTGTTCTGTTTCTAACACTAGGCTTCTCTCTGTGACTGTGGAGTCCCTGATTCTTTCAAAATCTGATAAAGGAGAAGAGGGTGATCATATCCTTTGTGATCTGAAGAGAGCATTGTTTATAGTTTTCCAGAATTGAAATCAAAGATCAAATCTCAATATTGTGTAAACTCTGTACAGAGAGTATAACGTTTTTAGTTTGTGGAAAAGTTTTCATAACTTATGCCTTTTATTTTTGTTCAGAGCAACCCTGTGAGGTAGCTTTAGCAAAGTCTGTGCATGTTTCATATTATAGTTTAGCCAACTCACATTCCAACTGGTTTTGGCTATGACTGACAATTCTATATATAGCTTCACAAAAGACAAAAATATTTTCACCTCTCCTGTTTGCAACTTCCAAGATTCACTCTCCTCTATCATAACTGGTTGCTCTGTTCCAACATAATTGGTTTCTATAGCTTTTGCTTACTTTTTCTATAGTCCAGTCCCTTGCCTATGCATTCCAGTCCTCACATACCTTTCTTTTTGTTTGTTTTTCTAATGAGTAGATATCTTTCCTGTGACTATCCCTTCAACATTTCCCCCATGGCACATTTTCTTTCAGTGCTAGCATTCACTAAGTGTGTACTATAGTTCTGTGTGTACAGTAAAAAGCTATTTTCTGAGCTTAAATAATATTGTGTGTATATGATTCAAAGCATAAAGGAGATTATTTTTTATGCTGTTCAACTGAGAAGTGAATTTCTGTTTCATTGTTTCTATTTAAAAAGTTTTTGCCAGGGAGTTCTGCTAATACTTTCTTATTTGTTCTAGTGTACTAGTCTAGTAGCATTTGCATGTAGATGTCTATGGATGACAGACTTTGGAAATGCACTCAAAATTTGCCACTATGAAATGTTTCCCTGTTGTGTGTATGTTGGTATTTATACACACCCACAGATACTCGCAAATATTTTAAAAATGGTTGTACGCATTTAGTGAAGATGAAAAGTAGACATACTTTTATAAATCAAAGAAATGCTTAGAATTTTATTTTGTCTACCCGTTTGACAGTTTTCCATGTTTGCGTTGAAACTATTTGTATTCATAAAAATATATTTCAAAAGTGTTATTCATTTGAACGTTCCTAAATAGACCACTATTTTTTGTGTTTGACAAATAAGTCTGTCAAAGATGAGCTGAATACACAAGTCATGAAAATAAAGTAAATTTATAAACATGAAGATAAATTAATGCTGTGATTTTATTATTTATTTAATTTTTAAAGCAACTTTTTTTCTAATAAGAAAACATAAACTGTATTTCCCTATTTTCTCCTAGAAATTTCAAAGGTCAAATGCTACTAACGATAGCAGATTTTATTTGTTTATGTTTTCACAAAGTTTCATTGAACTAAGTTTCTCAGATTCTTTCTATTTCAACATGTTTTATAGCAAAATGTTGAACAGCTTTGTGTTTTTAAGGTATGAAAGTTAATTTCTGTTGATGATGTTATAAAATTGTTAGCACTCCTTTTAAGTAATAGTGCACTGTTGATTTTTATCATTTTCTTTTCCTTTCCCTTTGCTTCTCTTTAATTTTTGGTTTATTTTGCTGATTGGAAAATCAGTAACAAAATGGCTTAAAAGGAAGTCTGATATGAAGGGCTCTATTGATCACATTGATCATGAATTAAAAGTATATTTGCCTTTTGTTGAGGAAGTGGTGCAGTGGTAGAACATTTGCCTAGCTGCCATGAAGATTTTGATTTTTACCACCACAAAGTTGTATGTATGCATATGCGTGTATGTATGTTTTCTGTAAATATACTTTTGTGGGTCTTGTGTTTGCCAGTCAATATAATGAAAAAGTACTTGAGCAGTAAGTATGAACCATAGACTATGATGACTTTTTCTTTATGCTCCTACTGAGGAAACAGATATGGGCACAAATTGTAAGCTGGGTATTGCAATGTACTTATTTCAAATTAACAATTATTTATGCATGTAACATATTGAAGGAGGAAATAGAAAATTAATGTATTATACAGTTACAAAGCAAAAACAAGTTTAACTTGGTATCAGAATGATGGAAAGGTGAGAAACAGAGTGATATGAAATTTGTTATAAATACATGAAAGCCAATAAATGTTTTAATAGAGAAGTCAATGATAATGATGTTTTTAAAAGTTAATGTAATAGGCCTGTGCAGGTGTGCATAGAAAAACTTGAATAAAAATCAGAAAAGTTTTATGGCGGTTACAATGAAGATAATGAAGTATGAAGCCATGAGAGGTGTCAGTGAGTTTGAAAGAGAAGGCAATATATTAGAGATATTTTTGAAATTTCTCTAGCACACGAAGAAAGAATATTATTTAATATATTAGCAAGATAGATATAGATGTTATTATATAAAGACTGACAAGAGAAACTGAGAATGGTAACTCGGGTTTCCTTGGAAATTGTAATAGGGTGAGAGGAGTAAGAAAGAGAACTTTTTGAGAATGAGCATCTAAGTTTATTGTATTTAATTAAATGGCAAGTGATAGCACAATTATTCATAAGCTGTCAGTGTTGTTTATTCAGATTCTTTCTGTATAGCAGCAGAAGGCCACTTGCTTTTTCTTGGTTCCTTCAGGCATTCTGTGAATTACCTACACAGTTCTTACTGTTATTTCCCTCTGAAGTACAAGAGGTATTTTCATCAGATCTGCAACTGAGTAGTATGGCACTGATTAGACTTAAGGGCTGTTAAGTACGTGAATTGTGGCTGGTCAAGGGAGAATTAAATTCATAATTTATGTTTAAGCTTTAATTTTTAAAAGTGTGGCAATATAAAATACTGGTTTTCTGTTAATACCAACTATATTGCTCTGGTAGGATTACATTTCACTTTGGCCATGGGAAGTATTTTCTTTTGTTCTCTTTTCTCTTTAAAAGAATTTTTTAATTTAGTCATGAAAAGCTTGGTATCCCAATTGAAATATATTATTAATTTAAGATAAAAATCAGAATTTAAAGGTATAGTATAAACACTTAAATATTTTATTAGTGATTACATGAAGAATGCTATTTAGAATATATTTGTATAAAATATTAGAACTTTCTAGTTCTTTTTACTATTTTTTTCGAGAGAGGGTTTCTCTGTATAGCCCTGGATGTCCTGGAACTTGCTCTGTAGACCAGGCTGGGCTCAAACTCAGATATCACCTGTTTCTGCTTCCCAAGTGCTAGGATGAAAAGTGTGTGCCACCACTGCCCAGCTAATTGCTTGACTTTTTTGTGGTAGGAAATTGCTATGTAGCCCAGGCTAGTCTCAAATTTGCTTCAACCTCTTAAATTCTGAGATAACGCGCATGTACCAATACACAAAATCTTTTTACTTTATTAATGTAGCTATAGAAAATTTAAAATTATGTAAATAACTCTTGCCATACTTACAAAATAAAGTAATATATGAAATTATACTTTAAGCTGTCCTTTTATTAACTATACCAATCTGGTTGTTACTTACCTCCCTCCAGCTGCTGTATATAAAAATCAGGTATTCACCTCTTCTGTCTGTTTGAGGCTCTATTATAAAAAATTCAGTCTTTTACTTTATGCTTAAGACAAATAACAACAGCAACAACAACAAATCTTAATGTGTTACAAAGTACTGCATTATAATTTAGAGGACAGCAATTACTTTATTGGCATAAAACACTAGATTTCCTTAAAAACAGAATTTGTTTTGTTTTTTTGTTTTTTTCCCATTCTCATTCTCTAATGTTTATTTTCATGCTTTTGTATTTTCCCTCCTTCCCCAACCTCTGGTTGCCCCCTCTTTAGTTTCATAACTTATACTCACTCTCACACCTCCTTTTTTACATACATGCAAACATCAAAAGTTAGGATCTGCAAATGAGAAAGAATATATGATTTTTATCTGAGCCTTAGTCACCTTGCTTAATATAATATTTTGCAGTTCTGTCCATTTTCCTGAAAAATTTCATGATTCAACATTATCTATAGCTGAGTATATTTCAATTGTGTATATGAACCATGTTTTCATTATTTATTAGTTGAAGGATATATAGACTGTTTTCATTTTCTTCCTACTTCGAATAATGCAGCAATAAACAAGCATGTGCAGTCATCCATAGTAGGATATAGAGTCCTTTGAGAATATGTCTGAGAGTGCATATTCCTGTATCATATGGCAATTCTATGTCTAGCTAATTTTTGGTGGTGGTGGTTTTTGCTTGTTCAAGACAGGGTTTCATTGTATAACAGATCTGTCTGTTCTGGAATACACTTTGTGGCCTCAAACTCACAGAGATCCACCTGTCTCTGTCTGCTGAGTGCTGGGATTAAAGGTGTGCGCCACCATGCCTGGCTCTATTGTAGCTTTTGGAAGAGCCTCCACACTGACTTCTGTAGTCGCTGTACCAGTTTGTACTTCCACCAGTAGTGAATAAATCTTCCCCTTTCTCCACATCCATTCCAGGATTGCTTGTCATTCTGCTTTTTAGTCTTAGCCATAACCAGAGTGAGATGAAATCTCAAAGTACTTTTAATTTGGATGTACCTATTGGCTAGTGATGTTCAACATTTAAAAAACACGTATTTCTCAGGTATTTGTATCTCTTTTGAGAATTCTCTGTTTAGTTCCATGTCCCAAATTTAATTTGGTTCTTTCCTTGGTGTTCATTTTAATGGGCTTTTTATTATTTATATATTACAGACAACTTTCTGTCAGGTATATGGTTTGTAAAGGTTTTTTCTCAATGTTGTAGAATGGGGCTTCTTTTAAATGACAATGTCTTTTGCCATACAAAAGGTTTTTAATTTCATGGGGTCTCATTTGTCAACTTTACTTTTAATGCCTCTACTACCATGGTCCTGTTCAGAAAGTACATTTGAACGTACATTTCTGTGCCTATGAGTTCTGTGCCTATGAGATTCTCTTTCACACTCAGGGTATCAGGTCTTATGATGAGATCTTTGATTTATTTGGACTTGAGTTTTGGAAGGCTGTGAGATAAGGATCTGGTTTCATTCATCTACATGTAGTGTATCAAGTTTGACCAGTACCATTTGTTGAAGATGCTGTCTTTTCTCCAGTGTCTATTGTTGTTTTATTTCTCAAAATTCAGGTGACTATCGAAGCATATGTTTATGGATGAGTCCTCAATTCTATTTATCAGTGTGTCTGTTTGTATACCAGTACTTTTAAGGTTTTATTACTATACCTCTATAGTATAATTGAAATTGGGGATGGTAATACTCCTGGTGGGGCTTTTATTATTTAGGATTGTTTTAACTATCCTGGGTCTTCTATATTTCCATATAAATTTTGAGGTTACTTTTCTTTTCTGTGAAGAAATGAAAAAGTTTTAGACTTTTGATGGGAATTGCATCAAATCTGTAAATTGCTTTTGGCAGGATATCCATTTTCATAAAATAAAATCCTACCAATCCATGAGCATGAGATGTCTTCCATTTTCTGATGTCTTCTTCACTTTCTTTCTACAGTGTCTTAAAATTTTTATTACAAGAGTTTTTATTTTACTTTAATATATTTTATCTGAGGCCATTGTGAAAGGTATTTTCTACTGATTTCTTTTCAGTATATTTATCATGTTTTATATAGGAAGACTACTGACTTTTATGTGTTGATTTTGTAGCCTGATACTTTGGTGAAAGTGTATATCAGCTGTAGAAGTTTCCTGGTGGAGTCTTGACGGTCTTTTATGTATAAAATCATCATCTGCAAACAGGATTATTTTTACTTCATCATTTCCTATTTGAGTCCTTTTTATATCCTCTTGTCTTATTACTGTAGCTAAGGCTTCAAGCCCAGGTGTAGAGTGAGTGGACATCATTCTCTTGTTATTGACTTCAATGAAAATTCTAGGAGTGTTTCTCTGTTTGGCATCATGTAAACAGTGCGTTTGTTGTATGTTGCTTTTATTATATTGATATATATCCCTAGCTTCTCTAGGAATCATGAAGGGAAGTTGAATTTTGTCAAAGAATTTTCTACATCTTGTTGTATCATTATTTGATTTCTGTCCTTTAGTCTGATTATTGTGGGTTACATTTATTGATTTGTGAATATGGAATCATTCTTGGATTTCTGGAATGAAACTGACTTTCAATGGTGGGTGATCTTTTTGATGTGTTCTTGAACTTAGTTTGTGTGTTATAGAGATTTTTCCATCTATGTCTGTCAGGGATATTGTTCTATCCCTTGCTTTTTT